GCTTTTTACATTTTATTTTAATCAATTTTATTTTAAAAAATGAGATTATGAGGCGTGCACTTTTGGATTTTCCAAACTTTTTGATTTTATTGATACATTTTTTTTGAAAAATATATAAAAAAAATGAACAATTAAAAAAAAAAGTTAATTAGGTACAATTTTAACAAATTTTCAAAAAAATTTATAAATTTTTTAGAAAATTTTGATATTCAACTTTTTTTTTTTTTTAAATTGTTTATTTTTTTATGCATTTGAAAAAAAATATGTATGTATCAAAAAAAAGATAAAATAAAAATTTAATTCAAAAACAAGAGAGCCAAAATTTTTTCCAACTTTTGGAAAAAAGCTATCGAAATTTTTATTTTTTTCTTTCGCGACATTTTTTATCATAAATCCGCCGTGAAAACAAGCAGAATAAAAAAAAATTGAAAATGTTAATTTTTCACCTAGTTATGGCCCAAAATGGGTTTGACCCCACTTGTAAATGATTACCAAACTATCAAATGTCTCTAAACTTCAGAATCATCAAATTTTCCATAAATTGTTTGTACCTATTAAATAATGACATTGAAGTTAGCAGGCGTCTAAAAATTTTTGATTTTTTTTTTTTTAAATTAAATTACAACTAAAAAGATATTTCTAGGTGATTCTCTGTAAGGACGTCTTAAATCTGTACAAAATTGTCCGACTAAATTATTTTTAATTTTATTAGAAAAAAAATTAACAAGGGCTACAAAACTATCAACTTAATCATAATAAATAAACAGCCGAATTAATTTTTACTTTTTCGATATTTGTGTATCTTTTGCCATATAACATGACAGGGGACTGCTTGCCAGGGGACTGTTTTTTTTTTTTTTATCAAATTGAGAAAAATCAAGTAAACTATTTCAATGCATTCAACTTTTCAAGTCCTCAATGAATGTTTACATTGATTAGAATAATATTAAGACTTATGGATCCAATTTTATAAATAAAATTCTGGCAGGGGACTGTTCTTAAAATGCCTGGGACAAACTTTGGCTTAATGAATTTAATGAAACAAATTAACTTTCGGTACTTTTTATTGAAGAAGATTGTTAGTTAACTAATTAAGTTTATAAATATTATGAACCAAATTATATATTATTGACGAATAACTTAAAATTTAATCTTAAAGTTTTAATTTTAGAAATGGGACAGCCCAGGGGACTGATATTTCGGTGGTTTACGAATTTATAGCAAAAAAACCAAAATTTATTTCATTTTAATTTTCAATGCTCCAAATAGAAATATTTTTTTACTTTCATAATAAATTTTTTTTAGTAACAAAATAACAATTTTTCTAATAAAAAAATGCCTGGGACAGCAAAAAACATCCTTACAGAGAATCACCCTTCTAAAAAATTGCACTTATAGTTTTTCAAGTTTTTCACATGTGAAATTTTTTTTTTAATTTTTTAATTGAAATTTTTTCAATAAAAAATTTCTAAAAATTTTGAAATGTCTAACTTAATTTTCATATTAAATATTAAATATTTTTTTCTCATTAAATTCAGCATGAATTAGCGACAATATTATACCCGGTACTCGTTCACATGTACCTAGAATTAGTTTACAATAATCATTCGGAGCAAGCTAAACAATTGTTGGAGAAATATGGTCCCAGTCTGGATGATCACCATCAGACTGATCTCAAGCGGCTTTCAAATGTCACCAAGCGAGAACAAATGGCTGGGAATGAATTTACTGATACATTCAAGTATATACTATTATTATTATCATAATAATAATTTATTATTTTTCAATGAAAAAGTCTTAAAAATTTATAATTTCATTCAGGTCGAATCAGTTTATCATCAGAATATCGCGGGATACTTTGTCGATATTAAAACGGCATTTACAAGAGAAGAAACACAGCGTTCTATTGAACATTATTCAAGAACATTTGTACTTTGATATGTACGAAGGAACAGCAAGGAATAAACAACAGATCGAAGCTACTTCAGGTGCTACACTTGGAGAAGCTACCAGACAAGATAACAAAGCAAAAGTATATTACGGATTATTAAAAGAGCCAGATATTCAATGTGTAGCGCCAGCAGAGGAAGAAGAAGATGAAGCAAATGCTGGCGGTGAAGGCGATAAACCAAAAAAAAAGAAAGCAAAAAAAGATCCTTTGTTTTCGAAAAAAACTAAGTCTGATCCAAATGCTCCGCCAGTTGGTCGTATGTTTCTGCCGAATTTAAAGGACGCAGATAAATTAGAAAAAGTAAAAGCTCTTCGCGAAGCATCGAAGCGCGTAGCTCTAGGACCCGACTCGCTGCCTTCAATATGCTTCTACACTCTGTTAAACGCAGTCCATACTGTGACTTCTGCTGAAGTATCAGAAGATTCCAGTTTATTGGCCGTAGGTTTCAGCGACTCGACTCTCAGAGTGTGGAGCCTGGTACCTCAAAAGTTGAAATCCATGAAATCCGCCGAAGCGCTTGCAGACATTGAGCGGGAAGCTGATGACGTTCTTGTTCGGATGATGGACGAACGAACCGCTGAGACTGTAAAACTTTTGCATGGACACAGTGGGCCCATTTACAGCCTGACTTTCAGTCCAGACCGCAATTTGTTGCTTTCTTGCTCTGATGACGCAACAATACGATTGTGGTCATTACACACCTGGACATGTGTAGTGTGTTACAAAGGACACCTCTTTCCCGTATGGTCGGTACGGTTTTCACCCCATGGATATTATTTTGCCACTGGGTCAAATGACAAAACCGCTAGGTTGTGGGTTACTGATTCTCATCAACCGTTACGGATTTTTGCTGGACATTATTCTGATGTAGATGTGAGTTATTTTTCAGTTTTAACCCATAGTGGTCACACTTCTTAAAAATAACGTAGTGGTCATACTGGGTCTAGTTGACCCCATGCACGGAAAAATTTGTTGCTACTTGCGTTCTTTTCAATATTTTCACTCGAGCCGTACATAAGAGTAATTCTTAACACTTGTTAAATAGGGTAAATGCACCAATTATTGACCGATTAAGGTTTTCTTTTTCTGTTCTAAGCTATAAAAAATCTATTAACCTACTAAAAACAATTTGTAATGGATTTTATTAAAGTTAAATACTTAATTAATAATAATTAATAACTATTTATAATAAAAATTAACAAAATTATATTAATTTTGTTATTTGAATCTTGAAATACTAAAATCACCAATTATTGACCGAAGAAACCCAATAAATGACCGACCGTTCTCCAATTAATTGACCGTTGAAATAATTATAAGTAATTTTGTAAACTACATATATTTAATTCAATTTATGCAGTACTTTTGAAGTATTAACCACATCTTTAACAAAACTAAACATACAATATAATTTTAAATCGTACTTTTTTTATAAAATAATATAAATAATAGCAATAATTAACATAAAGTCACATTTCTTTAGGTCACAAATAATCAAAAATTCATTTTGATGACGATAATTCTTCTGATTCACTTGAAATTTTTTATTCTTTTTTTCAATTAAAACTTTTTTACTAGCTTGTAACTCTTTTTTATTTTTTTAATTGCTTAGCAATTTTTTCTTCTAATAATTCGTTCTTTGATATAACCGTTCACTAAAAAAATTAGAACAAAATAAAATTTAATAATAAAAAAAGATTTTAAGTATTATTTTAATTATAAATATACATTTTATAATAATTATTTTTATATTTACAAAATATTGAATGACCAAAGTACTTTAAAGACTTGACAGATTTAATTTTAAGGTTGAGAAGTTAGTATTATAAATATACGGCCATTAATATTAAAACTTATAATTTAACTTTATTTTTTCAAAAAAGTTGGAATCTGATTTTTAATTAACATAATAAAACTAAAATATTTTATATTATGCCGATATATATCACTAAATTAATGATGAAATGCACTCACTCTCCAATTGTACGCTAATTATTTTTGACCGCTTTATGGCTGGTTGCGTTGTAAACAAACTCAGAATATTTTTTTAAAGCTATAATCACTGCGCAATTAATTACGTTATTCTTTATTATGATGATCAAATGCCATATATTTTTATTTTAATATTTTAAGAAAAAAAAAAACCCTTGTAAAATATTTTTTAATTAACTTTTTTATACATCGGTCAACTAATTGGTGACCGGTCAACAACTGGTGCATTTACCCTAATTCAATCGTTTTTTAATTGTTTAATTATAAAAAAAAAATGCGACAAAGTCAAATTTCAAAAAATTTGACTTTTTTTTACTAAAAACTTCATTTTTTAAGATCAATGAAAATGACCTCCGGGTTTCTACTCCGGATATCGCATACTTTGAAAAAAAGTGGTGTCATGTCGAGCTTTTCAAAAAGTATATTGATTTGTGAGATTGAAATTGTAAATTTCCATGAATCTCAAAAAATCTTCAAACAATAATAGATGGTACCACAGATACCATTTTTAATATCTTCGAAGTAAGAGCAACTCGAAAATTGCCTGGGGTCATCTAAACCCATAATGACCATTACGGGTTAAATAATCTTAACATACACGGAAAAAATAAACTGTAAAATTCACTCGGATTCCGGTTAATTTTTATAGTTTCAAACAGTACAGCGGACATCAGGGTGGCACAAATGTAAATATTACAAAACTTAATGTAGAAAGTAAAAGCCACAATTTGTAATTTAATATCGAAAATATGATTAGTTGTCACTTTAGTAAATAACGACTCTCTCATCTTAAAAAATTACAGTTTCAATCAGTAAAAATTGCCGTTTCAATATATAGTCTATACTATGAAGAGAAGGGGAAGGTCTCACCCTCGGATAATTTAAAATTTGAAACAGTGAAAAATTCTACTCTTAAAATATATATTTTACCAGTCCAAGCAAATCAATAATTATAGTTTGATTTTTAGCGTTGCGTTTAAAATTTACCATTTTACTTTGTAAATATTGACGTTGCTTGTATAGAAATTTAGTAACTGTAGTTTATATTTTTAACATCATGCGATCATTTTTTAGGTACGAAATGATAAATATCAAAGTCAAAATTCTTAATTATTATATTTTAACATTTTCGACTTTCATACAGCGAATATTACTGTTTGAAATAGTATTTTCTTCCATGTAAATAATAAATTGTAGTATTTAAATGATAAATATTATGAATTGATTGTTGAAATCATGATTTCACTGTTTGAAATGGTAATTTTATTCAGTTGATCATCTATATTATTAAGAGAATAAGAAAAATTTTGTGTCCAGGAAAGTGATATGATAAAATCAGTTTTTTTATTTGAATTTAGTGTCATTGCAAAGGTCGATTTGAATTTGTGCCTTTTCAACGTTTCATATCATTCTCACTGATAGTAAATTTATTATGATAAGTATTTAGGCTGTATTCGAAAATGCTCTATCTCTAAATACATAATTAAGAAATGACCTTGTATCTTGTGAACTATGGACATTTTTAAAGATATAAGCTCACCCCAATATTACACTCATCGAGACCTTTCATTTGAGTACCCACATTAATTTTTCATATCGCGTGCCTAATGCAAAAAGGGCGTATAAAAAATTTTTTTTGCCATTCTTAAAATCACTCAAAACACAAAGATCTGTAAAAAAAAAAAATTCGAGCATCCTAAATTTAAAAGGGCGTCGTACATACGCCCTTTTAGCTTTTAGAAAAGTAATGACTAAAGCTAAAAGGGAGCATAAAAAAAATTCAAGTTTTTATAAAAATTTTGATAAATAGCTTCACAAAACATGAAATAAAAAAGTTTAATAACAAAAAAAAAATTCTTAACAGCCGGTCCCTACGATTGCAGCTTTATATTTCTTTTCTAGACAAAGAAGAATTTTGAAAAAAAAACGCTCTGCTACGTAATAGATTTTTTAATTATCTACTTCATAGCAGAGGGTTTTTTTCAAAACTCTCATTTGTTCAAAAGAAAAACATAAAACTGCAATAGTTTTATAATCATGAGCGCAACAAGGATAGTACCAGTTTTTGCCGTGAGTGCGACCTACGAGAAAAAGAGGGGATTGGCTGTCAAGTACTTAAACAATATTTAAAAAATAATATTTTTAAACTATTTTTATACAAGCAATGGATAAGTCAATTAATCGAAAACTTATAGGATTAACTTAATTTTCAAATAAAAATAAATTAATACAATCACGCATATTTAGCAATTTTTTAAAAATATTTTTAATTGTATTTTTAAAAGAATGTATGTATAGTTAGAATGCGTCTCTTTGACTCTACCTACCGTTTTTTTTTTTTAATTTTTAAGCTAAAAATAAACATTTAAATGAATCGTTCAGAGAAAAAATTTATAGGCCTTTTTAGCTTTAGGTCATAAAACTTTTAAGTTCCTAAAGCTAAAAGAGCGCATAACTAGAGACATACGCTCTTTTAGTTTTAGGAAATCAATGCTTCATTTTTAGATGAAGAATATGTCAACCAGTCGAATGGCGATAAAAAAAAAATTATGCGCCCTTTTACCTTTTGGTACGCGATATATTTATATATATGTACAATGTACATATGAGAAATATATCAAAAATGCATGTGGGTACTCAAATGAAAGCTCTTGTTGAGTGTAACATCAGGATGAGCTTATATCTTTAAAAACGTCAATATTTAAGAAAGTACAGTGCAATTTAACAAAACTCATTATTTAATAAAGCAAAATTTTATTTGTTTATAGTTCACAGGTCACGGCGGTCACACAGTGACTGCAAGGTTGCTAGTTATTTATTATAAATCGACTATTATTTATTACAGTTTACTTTTTTCCGTGTACATTTATCAATGGTCAATATAATGATTAATTTTTTTTTTAAGGTTGTCCAATTTCATCCAAATTCAAATTACGTCGCAAGTGGGTCCAGTGACATGACTGTCAGATTATGGGACTGTGTAACGGGCGCCCAAGTCCGATTAATGACCGGTCATAAGGCTCCGATTTATGCATTATCATTTTCAACAGAAGGCCGTTTCTTGGCATCGGCTGGTGCTGATAGTCGTGTATTAGTTTGGGATTTAGCGCATGGTCATCTTGTTGGTGCTCTGTCTGGTCATACAAGTACTATTCAATGCTTATCATTCAGTCGTGATGGCACAATATTAACTTCTGCTTCATTGGATTGTACGATTAGATTATGGGACTTTACAAAGCTAACTGAAGAAATGGTCCTTGATGATGTCAATGTCGCTCACAATCCTGATGTTAAATCAACCTCAGATTCATATTTACTAAGAACATTCCCCACTAAAAATTCGCCTGTTCTAGCTTTACACTTTACGAGGCGTAATTTATTACTTAGTGTTGGAATGTTCGAAGCACAGTAAATTATTGATTCTCGTAACTAGTTAATTAATAAATTATAAATTTATTCCAAAGTTGAATATTTTTTTTATCAAGTATTGATAGGTGTAAAATTAAGAGAATACATTTTAAAATATTTTATATGGTTATTTATAAGTAATAAATATTATCATGTGTTTATACAGTAACTTTCATTGCAATAATTTTTTTTTTTTTTAATAAAATAAAATAAGAAAAAAAATTCTTAATGGGAATTTAATTTCTAAGTTAAATTATGCTCCTTAATTTAATAAAAAAATTTTTAGGTATTGAAGAAAATAACAAAATCAATTGAAAAGTTTAATTTTAAGATTAAATTTGTTTTACGAAAAAAAAAATTTTTTGTAATATTTAAAGATTCAAAAGAAGTAAAGCGGGTAATGAAAATTAACTTAGCAGATATTTAAAAATTTTTAGAAGTTTTTTTTTATTGAAAAAGTTGTTACAAAAAAAAATTTCATTTGTAAAAAACTTGAAAAATTAAGTGCAATTTTTATAAAAAAATTTTTTGTAAGGTAAAAGTCCCCATTATTGACACTATAAGAGTGATCATGAATATTTGAATTTTTTCATCGTGTTTCAAATCAATATTGTCATCTTTTTTTTTTTATAGGACACCTTAATCATTGTTTTTACTTATATAATTTAATTAATTAACTTTAATAGCAATAAATTTAATAATTATTATATCAACTTAAAACCAACAGGTCGAATGTATGTATTATTGACAGCGCAAAAAATTCAAAGAGCCGATTATTGACATACCATTGACCCTATTATTGACAGGTCTTTTATTGCAGTTAAATTTATATAAACAATAATCATTTTTACTAACTAATGCAAAACTATCAATAATTTTTATTATTTTAAAATTCGTTTAAGACCTAGCTTTTCTATATTTTTTACCAGGTTTTTTTTTTAGCAATTTTTTCTAGTCTCAAATACTTTGATTCTTATAAAATCACATGACAGTATGTAAACATTAATACGTTGATCATTTGTAAAAACCTTAAAAAACTGTAAGTGCAATTTTTATAAAATAATTTTTTGTGTTAATTTAATATGCAAATTAATTTAGCATATAGTTGATAATTTTAAGAATTTTTCTAACAAATAAATTGTGACAAAAAAAAATTATGATATTAAAGTTAGCTGTCACTCGACCAATTTTTAATTTTATTTAACAATTAAATAAATTCTAATAAATTATTTTTAAAAAATTGCATTTTTAATTTTTTAAAATTTCTACATGTCAATTTTTTTTTTCTTATTTATTTGGCCATAATTTATTTGTTAACAAAAGTTCTAAAATTTATGAAATATCTGCTAAATTAATTTTCATAAAAAAATTATAAAAAAAATTGACATTTAGAAATTTTAAGACTAAAAATGCAATTTTTTTTAAATAATTTTTTTGAACAATTTTATTTGTTAAAAAAAATTGTCAAATGACAGCTAAATTTAATATCATTAATTTAATTATTGAAAAAAAATTTTTAAAATTAAAAACCTCGTCTAACTTTAGTATTATAAGCGGGTAAATTATTGATAAAAGCGAAATAATTTAAATAACAAATAATTACTCAAGACTTGCGTAGAGTAACTCTGTTCATATACACCCTATATCTATATATATACGTGTATATATCCCTAAACACAAGTAACCAACTAAAACTATATATACTTAACTATACATTAAAAATGAATTTCAGTAGCACGACCACTGTCAATCGTGACACTGAGGAAACAAACACCACCAACAGCGGACCTAAAAAACTCAGACAGAAATGGAGAAAGGACTAAGGATACCTCCGAGATAAAAACAAGAACAAACTTGCAAACAGGAGTAAAAAAATGAAAGTGAAATGTCTGTGTCTCCTACTAAGACTTAATAATTTTTATTAGTCTAGATATCCTAGATATCTGGGCGTTGTCTGTCTTTAAAATAATAATAAAAGATCCTTACATATATATTTATTTATTTATTTGTTTGTTCTGACAAATAAATAAATAAGGAATTATGGACGACAATTATATCAGACTCGGTAAGTATTTTTAATCATTTTATAATTTTAGGTTAAATAATTATTATGTTTTTAATTTCTTCTTTCAGAAAATTATGAAATGCTCAAAGCATTGTACGATTTTAAAGCAACTTTTGCCAAAACACTGAGCTTCCGTGAAAATGATCATTTTATATTACATCAAACTAATACCAAACAACGAAATTGGTGGCAAGTTGTTAACAATACCGGTCAGCTGGGTTATATTCCATCAAATTATGTAACTACGGTCAAGGTAAATTAATTCCTTGTTTTTTTATGTTTATTAATTTATTAGTTTATTCGTGTGTAATTTTTAGTCATAGTTTATCGGGGTGACCTTGTCATATAGGAAGCTGAGAACATGCGGGTTTCGGACATTTGTAATTTCTGAATGTCAATTTTTCATGAAAATAAAGTTAGCCGACATTTCAAAATTTTTAGAAATTTTTTATTTAAAAAATTTCAATTAAACAATTAAAAAAAAAAATTTCACATGTAAAAAACTTGAAAAACTATAAGTGCAATTTTTTAGAAATATTTTTTTAGTTGTAATTTAATTAAAAAAAAAAAATCAAAAATTTTTAGACGTCTGCTGACTCCAGTGTCATCAATTTTTCACAAAACCATTTTTTTATTTCCCAAATAAATTTAAAAAAATGAAACTAGTAAATTGTTAATAATTTTTTAAACAATTAACTTGCTATTAAGAAGAATATTTTAAAAAAGTTGTATCAGTAATTTCTTAAAATTTCATGACATTAAAGTTAGCAGTCACTTGACAATCTTTTAATTTTATTCAACAAAAAAATTGGTTACAAAAAATTATTTTTAAAAAATTGCACTTTATATTTTTTAAAATTTCAACGTCAATTTTTTTCTGCCATAATTAATTGTCATAAAATACTTAAAATTATTAAATATGTGCTAAATTAATTTTCATAAAATTTCTATAAGCAAATTTTTTCTTTTTTTTT